CGAGGGAACACGGTGCATGCAACATGCACACCTTCTGGCTCCGGCTACGAGATCCTGCCTAGAGATAGTAATTGTTTCTTGTAGATTGAGATACCGCTCAACCAGTGGTGTTATCCAGAAAAAGATCTGGGGGTAGGGTCAGGATCCAGGGTCATGAAAATTCCGTCTCGGAGGGGAGGGGTGTCTTGGAGATAGAAAACTGCATAGTAGGAGGGGACTCGCTTAGTCCAGGTAGGTACACTTCACAGAAGATATAGCATAACATGCTATATGTAGAAGAAGCGTAATGAGCTGTTGCGCTTCGGGAGGCGAGACTCCGAGGAGCCCGAAAGCCCTCCCATGAATACGCCCGTGTGCCCATACCAGAATAGGCGTGGGGTCTGTGGGCCAAGCTCAAAGAGTTCCGCACTTCTTTCTAATATCATTGGGATTGCACCCCTCCAGCGGCGGCGACGAAAAGTAAATAAGAAATGAAGTCCTTGATTCAATTTACAAATTAATGCATTAATCAAAGAAATTATCCTGTCTAGTCATGAAATATTACCAGACACTTGAGAAACAAATAATATTTTAAATTTCAATAGGTATTATGTGTAATCCATGCTGTCCGGGGCGCGGCACCTCAAACACAAAAGCTGTATTTGTGTTTTCGGCTCACAAAGAAATTGACAGTAACTAGAAAAAAGGTTGTATTTTTCTATTTAACTCCTCATTTAGTGGACTTAGCATTTTGAAGGCTGGCTATTATTACCTCTAATGGCATCCTAAGAAAAAAATTCGGCCTGATTTTTGTTCATTTTCCTGTTGTGCTTTTTGTCACCGAAAGCAAACTGTAGCTAAATTGTTTTCACAAAGCTCTTGGAAAACTTACTTAGTCAAGCTTCGCCTTTGAAATGATGTTCCCAACTTGGGTGAATGGGACGGAGATTTTTTTCAGTCTATAGTATAGAACATTTTCACTGTATACCGGAAATCTATTTGAATAGCAATATGTAATTTTTTCAGACTGCTACCTGGCCCGTATTAGATTTCTGTAAGAATGTTTTCGTTTATTTGTTACTTTCTGTTTATGGATTTATACAGAAACAGTTTTTTTTTGAGAATCCTAGATTGATTTATTACTTGTTTGTATTTTAAGGATATTATTTTGTTTGAATTGCATGGAATTGACTGTTTTATTTTATTATTTTATACTATATTATATATACTTCATAATTATTTGAATTTTTATTGAACCACTCACTAGGTACAAAATCTGCAATCGAAGTTGCACATATCTCCTTCATCTTCTGGCCTCCCAAATACTAAACTGCAACGTTGTATTAGGGCCGAAGACAGTCTAAAAAGCATTACTGATACTGGAAGGTAATGTCGAGCAATAAATTATAGATAAAAGGAACCGCATTCTATAGAGGCGCGTGGCTTGATTGAGTTGTATATTTGTAATATATATCCAGGCTTTTCAAAAACAAAATATTTCCTTCAAATTTCATATGCAGGCAGAAGCAGGTTGTTTGATTAATTCTGATATGGTAGGTTGATCTTTGGTATTGAATAGACAAGCCGTAAGTGCTAGGCTACCTAACGTTTGGAAACTGAACATTCTCTTCTAAAATGTAAATATGAAAAACGTTTCATTTACGAAATTAGCGCTGGCTAATTATCCTTCTTGCAACTAATTTCATTAGCTCTAAAAAATATTTCACCAGTTTAACCACTTTCCGTGTCTATACAAACTGCATTCTGGTCTACATGCTACTTACTTTGTAGACATACTGGTAGGTTCAGCCACTTTAAGCAGAAATCCAAGTATATAGAATTTTTGCTTTTCCAGAAATCCTCCCAATGCTAATACAAACAATTATGATCAGTTATGATTCATTAAATTTATTCATATGTGACTTCCTAGTTTAGACCGATGACGGAAATTTTAAAGGTGCCTATAAAAGTGATTTGTAGGAGCCACTGTTGTGGTTGATTTCGCGATAGTAATCGTTTCCTGCAGATTGAGATACTGCTCAATCAGTGGTGTTATCCAGAAAAAGATCTGGGAGGAGGCTCAGGATCCAGGGTCGTGGAGATAGAAAACTGCACAGCGGGGGTGGGGGGGGACTCGCTTAGTCCAGGTAGCATACTTCACAGAAGGTATAACATGCTGTAATATGTAGAAGAAGCCTAATGAGCTGTTACGCTTCGGGAAGGGAAACTCCGAGGAGCCCCAAATCCCTCCCTTGAATACGCCGGTGTGCCCATACCAGAATAGGAACAGAGGCGTGGGGTCTGTGGGTCTAGCTCAAAGAGTTCCGCCATACTTTCTAATATCATTGGGTTTGCATCCAACCAGCGTCGGCGACGAAGCAAATAAGAAATAAATAAGTCCTTCTTGATTAAATTTACAACTTGATGCATTAATTAAAGAAATCATCCCGTTTTTAGTCATAAAATGCTACCAGACATTTGAGAAAAAAAATAATATTTTAAATTTCAATAGGCATTAAGTAATTATGTAATTTTTTCTTATGAATGTGGAAGTGGAAACAACCAGCGGGTACGCTAATGCAGTCGGCGGCGCGGCACCTCAAAGACAAACGCTGTATTTTGTGTTTTTCGCTCACAAAGAGATTGACAGTAGCTAGAAAAAAAGTGGAATTTTTCTATTTGACTCTTACCTTTAGTGGATTTAGCATTTAGAAGGCTGGCTATTATTACCTCCAATCCCATCCTAAGAAAAAATTCGGCCTGATTTTTTGTTCATTTTCCTGTTGTGCTTTTTATCACTGCAAGCAAACTGTAGCTAAACTGTTTCAGAAAGCTTTTGAAAACTTGTTAGTGAGACTTCGCTTTGAAATGATATTCCCAACTTGGGGGAATAGGACGGAGGTAGGTACTCGTATATTACAGAACATTTTCACTGTATACTGGAAATCTATTTTGAATAACAATATGTCACTTTTTCAGACTGCTACGTGGCCCGTATTAGATTTTTATAAGAATGTGTTTGTTTATTTGTTACTTTTGTTTATGGATTATAGAGAAACTGTTTTTTTTGAGAATTCTAGATTGATTTATTATATTATATTATATTTATATTTATTTTTGTTTTAATGCATGGAATTGACTGTTTGTTTTTATTATTTTATACTATACACTATGCACCGGCGGGCCTTCGGCGATCTACTTCTTTTCTGCCGCTACACCAACGGACTTTGCTCCTCGGAGCTCTCTTCCATGATGCCGCCGCGCGATGTGCTGCCAGATAGACCCGCCTAACTATGACGTCCCATCCTAACCGTGTCGAGCTTCGTTCATCCAGAACTGGGCGATACGACCGCCCCTTTGTCCCGAGAGTTTTGAGACTGTGGAACAATCTACAAGAGGAAGCTTTTCCCAGTTCTACTAACCTTAGTCAGTTCAAAAATCGCATTAACAAAATTTCTTTGGGACCATCATAGCAGCCGCGGTGTTTCGGCATTTAGGCTTGTGCCTGCGCGACTGCTTCGATATATAATACAGGTATATATATATATATATATATATATATATATATATATATATATATATATGTATACCTGTATATATACTCCATAATCATTTCAATTTTTGTCTTGTCTATTGAATACCAAATATATTTGACCTACCATAGAAAAATTCATCTCTCAATCTCTGTTTGGGAATCTGACTGACCAGTTATTAAACCGACCGTCGGCAATGAGTAATCAGGGGAGCAGAAACAAGTGGTCCTGCGACCTGTCTTTAGGTAGTGCGTCCCTCTTTTATCGAGTATAATTTATTGCCGGTTTAACATATTTCTTACATGTCCTTTACCGCCGTCTGATGGATCACTCTAATGCTGGGGCTACATTAGCGGGCTACGGCGACTATTCGGGCTACGGCGATGTGTGTGGCCGGGTACATCGTTACAACGCGGTGTATTCGGGCGAAGACGATGTAACATCGGGTCGCTGTCGGTAAACTAGCACGCATCAAAGGGACTTATCGCGACAATATTCGCATGTCTGGCTACACCTGCGTTACTTCAGGGTCGTCCAGACTTTGAAGCGAGACGGACGTGCGTGTGTTTTGCAGAGATAAAATATACAGGGTGACTTCGAAGTTGAGTCATTTATTTTAACAGTGAGTAGATCTGATCAAAAGAAATGTTTTTTTCCTTTACCATTTTTCTGGTAAAATTAAAGTAACAAAGTTATAGCCCTTTGGAAGTTTGAGTACCGCCCTGTCTCAATAATAATATCATGTACTCGTGTTTGGCAACAACGGATATAATCCGCCTTACCGGTTCATCGCATCGGAAACAAAAAAGCGAAAGAATTTGGAACGATGTTTTTGCAATTAAGTATTTTATTCAGTTCAGTTATACATACAGTCAGTGTCTGTCGGTTAGCGTGTGAATAGTGTCTGTTGCGTGGCTCAAACGAAATAAAAAATGGCACATGTTTATGCGGATCGGTTTCCCAATCGAGTGCAACCAACCCCTCGTGCCTTTGTTAATGTAGTACAACGGGCTCGTGAATCAGGTGACTTAAGACCTCACAGGGGACCTCACGATCAAATACAGGTCCGCACTGAAATACTTGTCGGGAGGATACTTTATAAAACAAGGTAAAAAAATTTTTTTAATTTTTTTTTATTTTTACACACATATTTTGGTTTATCTTCCTTCTACAATCATTATCTGAAATTAATGACTCAACTTCAAAGTCACCCTGTATTTGGCCTAGGTGTTTTGTACACTGTACGATGGAGTGGAATAACGAAAAAGTGTTGGAGTTCATTCAGTTTTATGAAACAGAAAATATTATATGGAATCCTAGTAACCCAGACCACAAAAAGAAGCATTTGGTACATGATGCGTGGACGAGAATTCAAAATAGGCTCAGTTGGCCTACCACAATAGAAGAAATGAAGAGGAAAAAAGATTCTTTGATGTCGTACTACAGAGCTCATCTCAATAAAATAAAGAAATCAATGAGGTCAGGCGCTGGCACCGACGACATATATCAAACAAATTGGTTCGCCTTTTCGGCTATGAACAGTTTTCTTCAGCCAATATATGATTGTCGCCGGACTATCGATACACAGGTAAATAATGAAACACGCCTATTTATTATATCTTATATTTATTCACATTCCACAGTGTGACTTCACAAAAATAAAAACATACTTTTAGTCTAAGCAACATGTAGCTTTTTGGGTGAAATCCGAGTATAGTCTCCGAAAATTACGATGAAGGTGTCATTTGATTCGGAAAAATATGTAGAAAGTTTAAGAAAAAATTCGAAAAGGCACTGATAAAAAGTGCAAAAGTTATAAACAATGTAAAAACAAACAAAATGGGAGTTTTGCTTTTTTTGTTGCTTAGACTATTTTTATTGACTGAAAATATTGAGCGAACTGGTCCCTGATCTGTGTAGGTAAAAGATCGCTCCGTCTAGCTACCGCTGGAAAAGGGCGCAACGCAGTTTCTTCTTGTTGCTCATTTCTCCATGTACCTGGAACTACTTGTCCATTTGTAATAGTGTCCGCAAAACCTGGTGGTATATATATATTATTTGAAGATGAACTGTTTCTTAAGAAGTTGTGTAATAATATACAAGACATTATAACATTAGAGGCGCGATCTGGTTGGAGTGCCATCGGCTTCCTAAGTACGCGGAATACCGCAGACATAATTCCAAACACATTTTCTACAACTATACGGGCTTTTGACAGTTGCGTGTTAAATTTTCTTTTAATACTGCCTTCTGGATGATCTCCAGGGTATGGCTTCATGATGTGTGTTTGTAACGGGAACGCGTTGTCCGCTACAAATACAAACGGCATGATGAAATCAGTACCGGGAAGCACCGAAGGAGCTGGTATCTTTAGAGCATTTCTTTCTAATCTTTCGAATAATGCGGTATTTCTAAACACTCCACCATCACTAATTCGCCCTTGGCAACCAACATCTGCATACAGAAACCGATATTTCTTATCTACCAAAGCCATGAGGACAATGCTAAATGTATGTTTATAATTATAAAATTCAGTTCCACTGTGAATGGGTGATAAAATTTGCACGTGTTTTCCATCAATGCTTCCAATACAATGTGGAAAGATATCATGGAACTCAGTTTCTTTTTGTAGCCATTCTTCTTCGTTTGAAGGCATCTGAAACAAATTTTATTATTATTTCAGAATGAAAGTGTACGGGAAGAGCATGCAGAACGTGACGATGAACATGAAGGGATTACAGTTAGTCGTAGTGAAGAAGACTCAACTCCAACTCCTCCGATTAATTCAAACATAACAAATAAGCGAGCGAAAATTGATTTTCCTTCAGAAATATTACATGCGAAGAGACAAATGCAAGAGGCATTTGAGCACGTGAAAGGCAGTGTCAACGACGAATATGAAATGTTTGGGAAACTGATTGCTGCTAAAATAAGAAAACTTAAAAACCCAAATACCAGAGACATTCTTATGAATGATATCCATAGCATGGTTATAAACGCAGGCATGATAGATCGGGTTCACCCAACTCATCCATATCACTCCAAATCCATTCATCGTTACATCAGAATCAAACCTACCGGTCCCCGACTCATCCATCACCATCTCAGTTACCAAAGAACCACACATATCACTCTTCAAATCAATCATCACCATCTCCATCACCACCGACCCAAACGTACCAGTCTCCGATCCATCCATCGCCATCGCAGAACCAAACCATGCCATCTCAGAAAACATCACAATTCGTTATATCGGAGACTGGTGATATAGTATTCATATGAAAATGTAGTAGTTTTGTAGTTTTTTTATGGATGGTATACCTTTTTTTTAATAGGAATGAGAATAGAAAAATGTTTATTTTGTTATTAATAATCGAAAAGAAAAACTCCATAAAGGTACATGTTGCTTAGACTATAGGCACTTAGTGAAATAAACTGAACTATGAGTAAAATATTGTATTTTTCTTACCATAACTTCGTCTTTCAAAACGATCAAAATACTTGCACACACTTCATGTACTATTTTGGAAATGAGTTGATGAGATATTTTGAAAAGATAATGAAGGCTTCGAAAATCATCTCCTGTCGCCAGATAACGTAGTGTTATTGCCAATCGCACTTTTGCAGGAATTGCTTTTCTGAATTTTGTATCTTTTTGGTGATTAGTGGTGCGAGCTTTTGTAGTAGTATTTCAAAGTCAGATGTCGACATACGTAAAAATCCAGGGAATTCTATACCGGACTCTGCGGTTAGCTCAGATAACAAACGTTCCATTCCTGTTCTGTAAATAAGAAAAAATGTAAAAATTATTATTATATACTCACACCACTTAAGGTCTAATGCAGAAAAAGGCAAAATAGAAACATTATATCAAGTATTATTTTAGCGTGACGTGTTGTAAATATTGTGCTGCACACTTACATCGTTCGGTTTCTATGAATAGTAGTCATCCACCATCTCCTCCTTCTTCTCTTATTCATATTACTTTGTACCTGATACCCGTACAAGTGTAATAAATAATAATAATTTACTGACATATAATGCAACGCTACTGCTTCCTCCATATTTTCTTCCGCACGGCTAAACAACACACAAACGAATAATCGTCGCAGTCCGTTATATGAATCTTCGCCGCTAAATGTAGACAAGAACATCGTGTATGCCCGATACACGATGTTTTTCGCGCCAACACGACACGAATCTTCGCCCGCTAATGTAGCCCCACCATAAGCAAAAGCTAAACATACGCGGTAATGTTTACCGAAAGGACATGCGATAAACAGGTTACAATAACAATAAGAGTTTTGAGCGTAGCAACTAGAATTCTTAGAGAAATTTTACATGGAGCACCCTTCAAAACACTTTAAGGAGTGTGTATATTTCGTATTTTTAAGTGTTGTGTTCTGAAGATTTAAAAATATGAAAATTGATATATCATTATCTGCCGTTGGTAATAATGGAATCATCATCTTGAGCATTTGATAGACCAATTGAGTATGAGTGGAAGACGAAAGGTAAGAAATCAAAGGCCCTGGATGGAATGAAGCTTCTCAAACGCTGGGAGATTTTAGGTACTAATTCGCGTCGTGTATCGGCGGAGTGTGGGTGGAGACAGTTGATTATGATTTGTCCACCAAAATATTCATACAGATCATATTGTGGCGGAATCATGAATCTGGATATCCATATTTTTAGCGTGTATGTCCAGCTTTACATCCACCCTTCAACTGGATAGATACACCCACACACATGCCGGTATACAGTAGGTTTATGACTTACTGCCTGGAGGCGACCAAGATATCCAATAAAGGAAAGAAAGGTTACAGGCGGATGGTTCACCTGAATGGGTTTCCTACTTTTAATTTTATTGATTTCAACAGAGTAATGCCTAGTTTGGCAGTTTGGCATGTCATAGAGTAATTGATTTTATACAGGGTAATACATATTATTATTTTTTCTGTCTAGACGATATATGATAAATAGCATTTTCTGGAAAATAGGCTTGAAAAATAGAGTGATTTAGCGTTCCACCCATTGGCGATAACCCACCTGTCGTTCTGGTTTCCTTGGCATTGTGCAATATCAGTAACTACTATACTGATTCTAACAGAGGTTGGAATGGAGTATTGATGGATTATTGTTCGGTCACAAGTTTGAAAATGAGTGTAAGAGCGCTAAACTTAGTAACCAGAAAAGAAAGCATATTTTCCAAACTGTGTGCTTACATTCTAAAAGCTTTTTCAGTGTAGATGAAAACAATCACTTTGTTTTTTATATGTTCAGTATTTATTTTTCAGGGAACATGAATAATGTAGACTGAAGAGTATAAAATTAAATAAAGAAATGGAACATCACATCTATTTTCTCGCAATATACTTGAACGATCTACT